CGCTTCGTCATTTTGGCGGATTTTAGTGGCCGCATGCTCGTTTGCCACCTTATGTTATAAAAAAAAAAAAGAGTAAACTCGAAACCTAATGGCACGATTTAAAAAATTATTTTGCTATTTACTACATTATCACGAAATAACATAGGCTATAATTATGACTAGATTTTTAATTCCACGTGGAGGAATCTCAAAAAAAATTTTTTTTGAACAAACAAGTAAAATTGAATTTGTAATGTCTAGATTCATTATAATGTAGTGAATAATATTTTTTTATCTATTCAGTATTTATTTATTTATTTATTTATTTATTTAAACACAATAGCTTCCTATTGTTATTTATTTTGTTTCGTAATTAAAGAGATAAGACATTTTTCTCAATAGGTGAGAATAATTTAATAATAACTCACGTGCAATATCACGTCACGTATTTTTTTTTTTTCAATTTCCTTTATTTTGATTTTTTAAATCATATATAAATAAATGCGAAAGTTACGATGGATGGATGTTTGTTAGCGTTTGTATCCTAAACGGCTGAACGGATCTCCATGAAATTTGGCACAGGTTTAGAGCATATTCTGGAAGAACACATAGGCTACTTTTTATCACGGGAATAGTTACAGTTCCCGTGGGATTCAATAATTTAGTTTTTAATGTTTACTCGATCATTTTGCAACGGTTCAACATATCTTATTGCAGTTTGGCACAGATACATAACAAAGTCTGGTATACATGGGATAAGGTTCATCCCCGAGAATTGTCCTTTCCCGAGGGATACATAGCTTTTTGTTATTTATATAGATCATATGTTTCCTAATACCAAGCGAAGTCGCGGGCAACAGCTAGTTTTGATATAAAATATAAACAGGAAATATTTGTATTTTTGCATTTTCGTATGTATTAAATTAACTCAAAAACTACTGAGCCGATTTCAAAAAATCTTTCACCATTAGAAAGCTACGCTATCGCTGAATAACATACATATATATTTTTTATATAAAATTATATGATCACGAGCTGTTGCCCGCGACTTCGTCCGCGTAGTATTAGAAAACATACTAACTATATAAATTACAAAAAGTTACGTATCCCTCGGGAAGCGGACATTTCTCGGGGATGAAGCTTATCTTACGTGTACTCCAGACTTTGTTTTACAATTGTGCCAAATTTCAATAAGATATGTTGAACCGTTGCAGAATGATCGAGTAAACATTAAAAAAACTAAATTATTGAATCCCAGGGGAACCGTAACTATTCCCGTGATAAAAAGTAGCCTATGTGTTCTTCCAGACTATGCTCTAAACCTGTGCCAAATTTCATGGAGATCCGTTCAGCCGTTTAGGCTACAAACGCTAACAAACATCCATCCATCCATCTAAACTTTCGCATTTATAATATTAGTAAGAAGTAGAATTTATGAGCATATAATATTAAAACTTTATAAACTAACTTACCTGTAAGGATATTTCTATTGCTAAAAAAAATATTAATTTTTTTCATATATTTTTTCCTTTGCCGTTGATAAAATATTTTTCAGGTACACAAAAAATATAAAAAAATAGTAGATTAGAATGTATTTAAGTGATAAATTTTACAATTTATATTACATATAGTATTTGCGATCTAATGCAAAAAATATGGAAATAAGCCTAGGTTAAGTTGAAATGATCCCTTAAACTTAACAAATCGTATAGGGCATTTGACAACTAGATAATATTGCACTTAAGTATACAATTTTTTTTTGGAAAAATCTAAAAAATAAATTAATTTAATATTTTTTTTTGGTGCAAAATTTATTAAAAGCGACAGCTTCAGCTTTTAAAATTGATATTTTTATAACACACTTATATTTACTGCTAGTGATGTAACGAAATTTTAACGATCAATTAAAAAAAAACTTTAAAATCGACGAAAAAAATAAAAAAAAAATAAAACTGATGAATTAATTACAAAAAACATTCATCAAAGTCAAAGAATAAAACTGTAATTTATGACGGATTAAAAAAAAAACAGTAATAGTAAAAAAAAAAATGTTACATCACTATAGTCTACTATCTACAGAATAACACTGATTTAACGATATATAGCGTCAAACACTAAATTTTCTTAAATTACTCGCTACTAATTCTGCAAGAGTAATACTAACCATAGATAAATGAAGCATAGACATTGTCTATGTTCTAAAATGACATATGACACATAAACCTCTATATTCTGACATTAGAGAATAGACAAGACATACATAATGACAGACATAGCCTCCTTTTCATTTACTTTTAAGTAAAATATAAAAATAAAAGCCCTGTGTACAGGACATAGCAAATTTTCGCAACTCAATCTAAAATCTTGAATTGAATTGATTTTTTTTTAATCTTTGCTATTTATGTAATAATTTAAAGAAATATCACAAAGACATGTGAAATACTTTAACGTAGTTTTGTATAGTAAACGGAAATAACTATTGATATTTTATATAGCACTATCTCTTTCACGTTACATGACTTGTGCTTTGTGCGACAGAGACAACGCTCTACAAATTCAAAAGTAACTAATTCTCTCTCCAAATAGATTGGTACAAGAATTACAATGCCTTAGAAACCCGAAAAACCTGTTTAAAATAACTTTTTAGAAAGTTCATACCCAGAAAAGCCTTTAATGATTAAATTTCATGTATATAAAATATACAAAATCAAACATTCCCCCTTCAAACACAAAACGACCCTAAACCTATCACTTTATTCTAAAAAAAATGTCTTTAATTAAAATAATTCATCACTCATTGGTTGATTCATCAATTCATATAAAATTATCACAAATTAAAATGTGACATTAAAACTAAAATTTGGAATCATTAATACAGGGTGTTCATAAACATAAATGCGTATTATTTGATTAAACCTCCTTGAATAACTTATTAGATGTAAACAATTGGATAAATACTAACAAACATATTTGATTTATTTCATATTTGAGATGAAAACCAATTAATTTATAAATAAATTTCATTTTTTTCAAATAATTTTTCAACAACCTGTATATCAAGTTTTACAAATTACTTCGAAAAGCTAAGCAAATTAGACACCAATCATAAGAAAAACTACTAAATCTCACATCGAAACATTTTCAAGTTACTAGAACTAGGAAAAAGTGAGATATAGTTGTGTGAGAAGTCTTGCAGTCTCCGCTAGTAGAGAGTGAGATAGTTTAATAGAAGAAGAGAAGTCTCTCTTGCGCTGTCCCGGAGAGGAGTCGCCAACCGCGCTTAATGTTCAAGTACTGAATCACTGCGCGCACGCAAATCAAAATACCTGTGGATTATTTAGAATAGAATAGAATAGAATAGAATAGAATAGAATAGAATAGAATAGAATATATATTTAACGTCACAAAAAAATAAATTAACTACAAAGACTTATTCTAAAGACAAAATACAGGGTTATTGCTAATTAGACGTATTCCCGTTAGGAGGTAATAGAGGGGATTTGTGATAATTTTGACCCCTATATACATTATTCAAAAGTTAACCATTTTCGAGAAAATTTGATTTTTCGATTTTTTCAAAATCAGTCGAAATAGCAACTTTAAAAATTTATTTAAAAAAAACTATCGATAACTTAATTTTTTCTTCAGGTTTATAAAAACCATTAAACACTGATTATTATACAATATAAAAACATCATTTATCTGTCCAAATTAAAAAATGCGAGCTAAAGAACCATTTTACTTTAATATTTTTCGAGATTCTCATCCACTGAAATGCCCTTAAAAACAAAAAAATCATTATGGAACTTGGTCTGCAGATTTTTTTAAAAACATGCCCGTTTTCTTAGCTCTCCAAAAACTAAGAACTTGTCCAAAGCCCACTGAAATAAACACATGATTTCAAAGGAATCGGGCGGTATTCGTACTGGAACTAAAGTTACGGTTGGTTTTGAAAACTCCCATAAAAGTAATTAAAAACAGAAGCAAACGTAAAATAAACCAATAACCCTGTATAACAATGTGGCAAAAAGTAACTAAATCTTTCCTGCATTGGTTTTCAGTTCTATCATAATAAATTTATTATATTCTATCTCTCTTTATTTTTCTTCAATCTTTAATCAAAAATTTGCAATACCCGTTTCTATAACAAAATAACATTTAAATGTCATATTTAAAATTCCTGCTTATTCCAAAAACAGAGAACGGTTAATAAAGTTCAGGATAAAATTTATCAAACTTATGCAGGGTTTCTGAAGATTCTATTCATTATTACCTAGAGATTGATTAGTAGTAAGTTAACCTCAGTTATAAAACCAAAAACTAACAGTTAAATGCTGGGAAACCCATTAGTTGCTATTGAACTCACCGAAGGCCATAATGAGCCACCACAGCCAGGAGTTCTCGTGTGAAGCGAGCTCAGTGGAATGCTTCACGATGAGGGTCCACTTGGCAAGCGAGAGACCGAAGCCAGCGAGCGCTCCGTAGCGGCTCGCCACAGTGTGGCAGAAGCACATCAGTAGCAGAAACCCGATCCAATTGAACAGGAATGCAACTGTACACACATTACAATACTCTTATGGAGACTATATTTTAGTAGTTTTTTCCTTCCCACACTTATTTTCTAAATAAAACATGGGAAGGTCCTAACGGAGGTCTAATTTTGTTTTCTCATCCTTCATCCCTATCCAATCTTCTCTTATAAAGATTGGAACGGTAGAAAAGATAGATAGGTACGGGATATATCATTTTTTAGTACATCTCTGTTGATTATAGGTAGGGAAGAAATCTAAAATTCCACGTCTATATAGGCGAAAGTCGTTTCGCTATTTCGACGAATAAGGTGGCCGCTTTCTCGTTGTCTTTGGTTATAGAAAGTCTTGAGAAACAATTGAAGAATATAAATTCTTAAATATTAAAGGGTCAAAGATATTCTGGAAGAAATTTATTTGAGACTTGACTTACTAAAACCCAAATACAATGTGCCGTGATTCAATTGGAGATAGAATTCAAATTTATTTTATTTTAATTACTTTAATTATATCTTTATACAAAAAAATGGGTTTTTTCATGACTATTGTGACTCATAAATAGTATAATAATAAATGGATGAATGTTACAGATGACCAGTAATAACTTACCAAAGAATGAAGTCAGGAACATAACATCAGTTCCGAGAAGACTGTTCTCAGGGTCAAGATGATCAGTTGAGGACTCATTTGGCTCCACCGTCACGAAGGCCGTGATCGTCGAGCGTCGGGGCGGCGGCGCTTGTATCTGAAATCGGTATTATTGGAATATTCAATATTTTACAAGTTGACTAGTGGGCAACCCACGACATCACCCGTGCGGGGTTTTAATTCATTTTACGAACTAAAAAGTGGTTAAGAAAACCATTAAAGTTTACTATTATTTCATACATCATTTTTATATATCTCTAACAGTAAAAACTCGATAAGAAAGAGATACTGTGCACACTATTGTGATATTAATCACCTGAACTGGTCCATCCCCTTCCATCTGCTTCTCGCGCTGCACCTCCTCGTAAGTAGGCAGCTTGGAGTTAGCGGCCACATCATAAGGAGGTGGGGCGGAGAAATCCACTTGAGGAGGTGGGATGTCACGAGAGTTGGTGGCTGGAAACATTTCACAAATATGTAAGCAATTTTAGACTTTAAAATGACAAGTTATGTCATCATCTTAAGTATTTAAAAGACACAGCCAACAGTTAATGTCAACTAAAGTATTAATCAGAACTAAAACTGATTTGTTGACTAAGGTTTAGCTAAAATTTCCTCATTAGCATGAAAATCTATACTTCAATACTAATTTTATAAAGATATTTTTTTTTGTATGAATTGAAAAAACTCAAAAACTACTAGGCCAATTTAAAAAATTCATTCACCGTTAGTAAGGTAGTTTATCTGTGAGTAACATAGGTTATATTTTTAATGTCACAGGCGAAGTCGCAAGTAGCTAGTTTTGTATATATTGAAATAACTCAAAAACTACTAGTTAATGCCATTTTAACAACCAACAGTAGCTATTTTCATGTAATGTATATCAAAGTTATTTTACTATAGGTATTTGTTAAGACATACTCTCACAATAGCATAGTGAATGGTTTGTTTATGTGTTTCTTAATTGTATAGAAATATTATCTTTCTTTCATGCATACCATGTTTAATTTTTAAACAGACTTAGTATTTCTTAACTAACAAAGAGGTTAGTTCTGCAACTGTATATAGAAAATCATTTTTTTTAAATATGGTACACATAAAGTACATAAGTTAAAAAGAATCGTAAAACGTGAGATACATACATATGTACATATATGTATTCATCAAAGAAATCAATAAATCTTAGTTTAAAGGTCAAACAGTTACAATATAACATATACATGTTTATTTTGCTTCCTGAATTGACATACAGGGAGTATGAAATAAATCAATACTCGACATTAAAGGAAAATGAAATATTTATACAATTACTTCCTTTCTGATAAGAAATTTTATCAACCATACCATAACCAATCGTTGATTCTCGTAAGTTAGCGCAAATCTATGAATAGAATAATCAATACCTTCACTTGAAACTACAATGAATAACTACAAGATAAGCACAATAATATTTCATACTTATAATGTCAATAAACGGTGCGGGCATGTTCACGGTGCTGTCTAATGTCGACGGCAATATCACCCGCAGGTGACCCGTCTGGCGAATATTTTCAGCTCGGGACTGATTCTGTAATTTATCAACACTTTCACACATCACGATACCGCATGAAGTTACATAAATAAACAATTAGAATATTGTCATCGATCACATACCATGTTTTTAGACATGAATTGTTAGCACTACTTATCACAACAGTAATAAAACGCAATAATTCTCGGCTGGTTGAGAAATTAACGCCTAGAAAACACACATCATATGGGAATCCTTTTACAATATTTGTATAATTTTTAGCTATTTCAACAGAAGCAGCACCACCCGAGGACCTCAGCTAAAACACAGATTAAATAATAGAATAGGAATAATGAATGTCGAGTGAAAATATTCTCCTATACCTAAATGTTGATGCTAGTTTGTACCAAAAATTATGAGGGATTAACTAAAAATAAGCTTTTCAAAGTCAGGAATACTCATAAGATCATTTGAAAAATATTGAAACTTTCTTTGGATTGCGAAAAGTATATTTTCTGTCTTATCTACAATTCGTAATCTCTTTTCAGTACTTCATGACAGATGTCAAACGTCAACAATAGGAAATTCGGAAATGTTTTCGGAAGTCCAGCTTTAAATTAATAAATGATTATAATAACGCAATAAACGTTTACTTTAACTTTTAAAAATGAAGGTTGTTTTGATGGTTGCAGAAAAGCCTTCGCTAGCTCAAAATTTAGCTAATATACTTAGTAATGGAAAATGCACTACGACCAAAGGTTAGAATCCAAATAGGATTCCTATGAGTTATTGTTTTTATAAAACATTTTGTGAATTTACGATATCAAACTTATTTTTTAAAGGTTCTAATGGAGCTTGTTCTGTCCACGAATGGAATGGTACCTTTAAAAATGAACCGGTACGATTTAGGATGACATCTGTTTGTGGGCATGTGATGAGTTTGGATTTTACTGGAAAATACAATAATTGGGATAAAGTAGACCCCGTGGAGTTGTTTTCTTGCCCTACTGAGAAAAAGGAAGCTATGCCTCGTCTAAAAATGCCGGCGTTTTTAGGTATGGAGGCTAGAGGTTCTGATTATCTTGTTCTATGGCTGGATTGTGATAAAGAAGGAGAAAATATATGTTTTGAGGTAAGGTACTATAGTTTCAACATCATCTCTCAAACATAATTAGAATGAATTGTATTTTAAGCTATCATGATAAAAGTGAGACACCCCTCATGTCTGTTCAACAAAATATATACACTTACATATATAAACATAAAATTTATTTACATTCCTGAGAACCTGATTACCTGTCCCTCAGACCCAATGGGAGTTGGATAAAGAGATGATGACATTCCTAAGAAATAAGCTAATGTGTGCCAATTTCGACCAAATCACCATTTATCTTGTGGGATTATTACTAAATTTGTCTTAATAACACTTTGTAGGTGATGAGCTGTGTTCAGCCATTCATGAATGGTGATGTATGTTCACCTCAAGTGACATACCGGGCTCGCTTCTCTGCCATCACAGATAAAGATATAAAAGCGGCCATGTTGAACTTAGTACGACCCAATGAGAATGAATCTCGCTCTGTAGATGCAAGACAAGAGTTGGATTTGCGTATCGGATGTGCTTTCACACGTTACCAAACTAAGTATTTTCAAGGTAAATTAAAAACATAAAAAATTACAAATTGTACAGTCAGAGCCCTTAGGTGTGTTCCATTTTTAAAAAATTGCTTTGTTTCTTGTTATAAGACAAACTGCCCTTATAAAATGAATTAGGTAGCATAGCAGTGAGTGCAAATATAAATTAGTGATGTAGTATTGTTCAACCTTATTTTATACAGACACATTTTAAAACTGCATTATATTCATTACTAGCCGTTCCCGTGCGAATTCATCCGCATGAAATTATGAAAATTTTATTTCATTGTTTACATTTGTCAAATTATCAATAGCAAATGTCAAAATGACATGACATGATGACAATCTTGCTTCCTTGATGTTAGCAGCAACTTATGGTCTCTTTCTCACATTAGGGTTTTTATCCAAAATATTTACCCCTAAGTTTAATGGTGTTAAAATATATAGTCTAAAGTGTGATGCAAGTGTAGGGCTTTTTATTAAAAAAAGAATTATTCAAAAATATGCTGTGATTGCTGACATCTTAGGCAACAAAGAAGTGTGTGTTTAAGCTTTATTATAATAGTATAGATTGTTCTGCACCAATGTCTACATAAAATTCACAGTAGCTTAAGGTGGACTACACCTCAGATTCCCTGATAGCACATAGTTATGTAAATAAGGCCAGTTCAAGAGTAGGTTTGTGAGTTTTAAAAACTGTATTTTTCTAAGTAACTTTGCTTTTGAGGTTCATATAATATTTTGAAATACATAAGGTAAATATTTTATTTCTTGTAGGTAGATATGGTGATTTGGATGCATCGTTGATTTCCTATGGACCATGCCAAACTCCAACGTTAGGATTCTGTGTACAAAGACATGATGAAATCCAGACATTCAAACCGGAGACTTATTGGGTTTTACGAGTTACTGCTAGCACTGATGAAGGTCGGGAGCTGCCGTTGGAATGGAAACGGGTTAGAAGTTTCGAGAAGGATATTGCTAATATGTTCCTTCACTGTATAAAAGAGACAAAAGAGGCCATGTGAGTGTCTGTTTAATTTTTTAGTGAATTACTCTAGGTCATTATTATTTTAAGGTTATTTTTGTGTGTAATAGTGTGTAATTTAAATAGGATTAAATGTGAATTATTGTGTGTTTGAGGTATTTAACTAAGGGATGATAACTATTGTTTTTTATTCTCCTTGTATAGTGGTAGAGCCCGCTTTAACATCTTCGCACGAATGGGCCGGCACGCCCGGTGTAATACCACAACCACACAGAAAACGGGCGTGAAGTGGAAGCAATTCCGCGTTTCGTCTGATGAGTGTGGTGCCAGAGGCCTAGTTCCTTTCCCTTGCCACCCTTTTCTTAAGAGGAAAGGATGGGAAGGAAAAGTGGATTTGACGGTGGAGACGCATAGGAAGGGGAAATGTCCTCTTTATGTGCGTCTCCTACGTCAATTAAGAATATGCAATGCATCTGCAATTGCGGATGTCTATGGGCAGCGGTCGCTTTCCATTTTGGTGGATTCAGGTGGCCGCTTGTTCGTTTGCCACCTTATATTATAAAAAAGTTTTAAATAGAACTTTAACAATTTCAGTGTTATTAATGTACAAGCAAAGGAGAAATTGAAATCTCGACCTGTGGCATTGAATACAGTAGAGTTGATGAGAGTGGCCAGTTCCGGACTGGGTATGGGGCCACATCATGCTATGCAGGTTATTAATACTTTTTGGTACATTAAATATTTTAATCACAACTTAAGATTATTTTTGGAATGATTTATCTTAAGATTTTTCAATGAAGTTAGAAAATTAGCTCATGTATACTATACTTTACTTAATAAAAAAGATTTACTGTACTTTTATATATTGAAATAACTCAAAAACTACTGGGTCGATTTTAAAAATTCTATCACCATTACAAAGCTACACTTTTGCTGAGTAACATTATATACAATGTTATAAATGTGAATGTTTAGATGGATAATTGTTTGTTAGAGTTTATAGCTTAAACTGCTCAACAGATTTCAATGAAATTTGCCATAGATGTAGAGGATAGTCTGGAAGAACACATAGGTTACTTTGTTTTGTTTTTTTTATTACCACGCTGACGGTGTCGCGGGCGAACACTAGTAGGCTATATTTACGTGGCCAAAGCGAGTAATAGCTGTGAAATGTAAATTATCTATGTATAAATGGGATTTCTTAATAATTTTTTTCTCTATAGATTGCGGAGCGTTTGTACACTCAGGGTTATATTTCATATCCCAGAACAGAAACAACAAGTTATCCTGAGAATTTTGATTTGATGTAAGCAATATAGTATTAATATGTACAATTAGGGAAACTGGAGGTGTTACAACTTATAACCTATAGAAATTTGAAACGACGCGGAACAATCTATACTAATATTATTCAGAGGAAAGATTCATATTTTTTATGTATCAAAATAACTTAAAAACTACTGGGCTGATAAAAATTCTTTCACCATTAAAAAACGGTATCAGTGAGTAACATGGTTGTTTTTATTATTTTTTTAATTCATGCGGGCGAAGTCGTGAGCAACAGCTAGTAAGCAATAGCTTTAAATTTAATAAAAAAATAAATTTGTCTTTAATAAAAAAAAATCTTAATTAAAGTAACTCACGGCTATTTATTTGGTAATTTGTAAGTAATAGTACGACTGTACGCAGATGTACAGTTAATCTACATGTCTATACATATGACAAAATTGAAGGGTCTGTTTGTAATATCAAAAGAGAATTTCCAAATTTCGGGAAGATGATGTATTTACGTTGCTAATAACGAAAATTTAATTTTTTTGTCTGTTTGTCCGCAAGCCGCGTTTGTTCCGGGTAATATCCGAAACGACTTGACCGATTTTGAGATTTTGACTGGTAGTTGACATAGACGGGCATATTATAGGCTACTTTTTTAAACATTGCGTGGACAGTCGCGGGCATCAGCTAGTTCCAAATTAAAATCGAAATTTAGGGTGCGATTTCGCGAAAACCCTTCTAATGCTGCTGTTTGCCGTTTGCATAGTGAAAACGTACCTTTAAAAATTTAAGGTGGGTATAAAATGCTTTATATATTTCAGTGGTGCACTCCGTCACCAACAAGGGTCTAATAAATGGGGTGAGGAGGTCCGTGCGTTATTGGCCAATGGTATTAACAAGCCAAAGAAAGGTCATGATGCAGGCGACCATCCTCCGATCACACCGTTAAGGCATGCTAGTAAGTAACTAGTACAAACCCCTAGCTTTCCTATCATACTTTATACTATCTTACTAATATTATAAATGCGAAAGTTTAGATGGATGGATGTTTGTTAGAGTTTGTAGCATAAACGACTGAACGGATTTCGATGAAATTTGGTATATATTTAGAGGATAGTCGGGAAGAACACACTGGCTTACACTTTTTTTTTTATTCCGAGCGGACGGTGTCGCGAGAGAAAGCTAGTATCGAATGAATATTAATTCGAATTCTAGAAAGCAGATCTTCCTAGTGGTAATTTGAACGACAATTGACTTATTTTTCTTTTGATATTTCTTATGAGAACTATATATTTCCATAATCTTACTTCTTACTAATATTATAAATGCGAAAGTTTAGATGGATGGATGGATGGATGGATAGATGGATGGATGTTTGTTTAGCGTTTGTAGCCTAAACGGTTAAACGGATCTCCATAAAATTTAACACAGGTTTAGAGCATAGTCTGGAAGAACACATGGGCTACTTTTTATCCCAGGAATAGTTACGGTTCCCGTGGGAATTATTAATTTAGTTTTTTAATGTTTACTCGATCATTCTGCAACGGTTCAACATATCGTATTGAAATTTGGCACAGATATAAAACAAAGTGTAGAGTACATATGGGATAAGCTTCATCCCCGAGAAATGTCCGATTCCCGAAGGATACGTAGCTTTTTGTAATTTATGTAGCTTGTATGTTTTCTAATACCACGTGGACGGAGTCTCGGGCAACAGCTCGTTAAATATAATTGTTGCATTCTTCCATAACATATCCAATTTTCCATTCCGATTCCGTTCAAATCAATTCTACCGTTGTGAATTTACCTTGAGTTACTTCTCACTTTGTAATGGGGGTTAATCTTAAGATACCTTGCCTTGAACTGAAGACGGTAATGTGGGGGTTTGATCCATTAAAACAAATAGTGGCAAACCTCGAGTGAATATATAGTCCAGGATATCAATCATACTTCATATTTCATATTCATATTATAAATGCGAAAGTTTAGATAGATGGATGTTTGTTCGTAAGAGTTTCTAGCCTAAACGGCTGAACGGATTACGATAAAATTTGGTATAGATGTAGAGGATAGTCTGGAACACATAGACTACTCACTTTTATTATTTTTCAATTCCACGCGGTCGGAGTCGCGGGTGATAACTAGTATTGAGATAAACAATTTTTTCCTACCAGCTGAATCAGAATTAGAAGGTGACATGTGGCGTATCTACGATTACGTGACGCGTCACTTTATAGCGACGCTTTGCCGCGACTGCCGCTATCTCTGCACAACCGCCACCTTCCAGATCGCAACGGAGACCTTCTCGTACTCCGGCAACACACTTGTTGATGCAGGGTACACAGAAGTTATGCATTGGCAAGTCAGTATTAATACTGTATCCCTTAACCCTTAAATGCATGAGTTTTTCTTTTTATATATATATTGAAACGAGTAGCAATTAAACATAGAGTAAGGGAAAAAGATTTTTTTTTTCAAAATAGTTATTGTGTAATGAAGAAAATATGTATAAATGTATCATCATGTATTTTAAGGTCAAATACCTGATTTTTTTAATCAACACACTTTACTGTGTCTACTAATGGGGAAAAATAATAAAAAAAAAAATCAAAACGATGTTTTTGTATATTATCTTTCCAACTTTTCGAGAAATCCATACCATCTTAGTTATCAACATTTTTGTGATAGGCTTCTTTTATTCTAAGATTATTAGTCAAACGTATCATGCAAATAGACTAATCTCTGAAACGGCTGGCCCGGTTTCGACCGGACTTTCACTGATGGGTAGCTGATAGACGGGCATATTTAAAGGCTACTTTTTTTTTAATTCAGCGCTGTCAAAATGGCGTAACGGGTTGTCCGATTTTAATGGGACTGAAAGGTAGATGAACGCGGGAATAGGATAGATGACTTTAAAAAAAATCCGCGCTATTTTATCTTATTATTTCATAGACGAATCTTCGAAAGCATTTATTTAATTGCCAATATTTAAATTTTTATATTTTATTTTGTAGTTACTATAATTTTAACTAATTGCATTATGACATTCAAATGAAAGATTCGGATTGGGTCGGAAATAAATGTCCTCGACTGTATGTTTCAAATGTTACATTTGATTACAGGCTTTTGGTAAAGACGAGTTTGTGCCGGTACTGAAAGTTGACGATGTGCTAAAGGCACACGATCACAGGCTGGTCGAATGTCAAACATCACCACCAGACTATCTCACTGAGGCTGAGGTAATGTTTTCATTAACTAAAGAATTTTTCTTCCTCTTCTTTCCTTTCCTCAAGTCATAATCTTTTCCAAATTATATTTACCGACCTCCAAGTCATATTATTTCTCTCCCAAATATTAAATATTCCTCTAAGGTGACGTTCTACATAAATTATAATTCACTTTCCCCTTTTCTAACGAAACTAACGAATTGGACCCTGTTTAGATCATAAATCCCTCCCTCCGAGGTATAATTATCTTAAACAAGTTATAATCCCTCCTCTAAAATTGTAATCTATCGCAAATCAGTAATCCCCACGATCTTCACGCCCCTATTTTCAATTATAATTTATCTTCAACCAATTTGTTATCATCTCCCCCAAGTCATAATGCTATTCCCCTAAATTATAATGCTCTTTCCTCAAATCATAATACTCTTCCCCCAAATGTTAATGCTCTTTTCCCAAATCATAATCAAAATATATCCTCTCTCAAATTATAATGACCCATCCCCCGAATCATATGTACATCTCCTTCTATTATTGATGAAAATAATAAAATCCCCCAGGTTATAACACTAATGGAGAAGCACGGTATCGGTACTGACGCGTCCATTCCCGTGCACATTAACAACATCTGCCAGAGGAATTATGTGGCGGTCGGCAATGGTAGGAAACTAATTCCTACCAACCTCGGTATTGTGCTAGTACATGGATATCAGAAGGTAGATAAATTATATACTCAAATATATTAATAATAAGAAATAGCCTATGTTACTCATTAGTTACGTATGTTTTTTATGGTGAAAGAATTTTTAAAATTGACCCAGTAGTTTTTGAGTTATTCTGATACATACAAAAATCAAAAAAATATCAATCTTCCCTCTTTATAATACGAGTATAGATAAGCTTACTTGAAATATTTTTTTGTATAATTAAAATTAAAATTTTCAATCTTTTGTATGTATTGAAATAACTCAAAAACTACTGGGCCGATTATAATTTTTTTTCCACCAATAAACAGCTATGTTATCACTGAGTATAAAGGCTATATTTGTTAATATTTGCGGAAGAAGCCGGGCGCAACAGCTTGTCTATACTAATGTTATAATGAAGAAAGTAGTTTGTAGTTTTGTAAATATTGAAATAACTCAAAAACTACTGGGCCAATATCAATAAATCTTTCACCGTTAGAAAAGTAATTTATCAGTGCCTTGCTTTCGGCCGCGACTTCTTCCGCGTGGAATAAAAAAACATAAAAGCAAGTAGCCTATGTATTCTTCCAGACTATGATATCTGTTCAGCAGTTTAGGCTACAAACTCTAACAAACATCCATCCATCCAAACTTTCGCATTTATAACATTAGTAAGATTATAGGCTGCATTTTTTCCTTTACCTGTACGAAGTAGGGAGCAACAACTAGTCGTAAAAACTTCCAGATCGACCCAGAACTAGTTCTACCAACAATGAGGTCAGCTGTCGAAGAACAATTAAATCTGATAGCGTTAGGTCGCGCGGACTTCCACGCGGTTCTCGCGCACACCACAGAGATATTCAGAAGGAAGTTCCAATACTTCGTCAGATCTATAGAGGCTATGGATCAATTATTCGAAGTTAATTTTTCCTCGTTAAAAGCCAGCGGAAAAGCGTTGTCTCGCTGCGGGAAATGTCGACGGTATATGAGATATATACAGGTGAGTGGTTTATGTTGATTTTGTGAGACATTTTTTCATTGTTTGTTTTGTAGACTATTCGTTCTATACTGTTTTATATTTAAGCCAAATTTCATGAAATCCATTCAGCCTTTTAGGAGGTGCCTTCCGCCAAACATGCATCCAAACTTTTGTATTTATAATATACTAGCTTCCGCCCGTGACTCCGCCCGCATGGTATTAATAAAAACAAAGAAAGTAGTCTATGTGTTCTTCCAGACTATTCTCTACATCCATGCCAAATTTCATCCAGATCCGTTCAGCCATTTACTAACATCTGTTTATCTATCCGTCCATTCATCCATCTATCCATCCATCCATCCATCCATCCATCCATCCATCCATCCATCCAACCATCCATCCATCCATCCAAACTTTC